CTCTCTCTCTCTCTCTCTCTCTCTCTCTCTCTCTCTCTCTCTCTCTCTGCAGCACTGGTATTATGGGGAGAGGATGTGACTCAGTGATGGAGCCCCTGCTTTGCAGGCGGAAGGTGCCAGGTTCAGTCCCCAGCATCTCTAGTTAAAAAGATCAGGTGATGTGAAAGACCTCTGCTGAGAGACCCTGGAGGACTTTCCCCAGTCAGATTAGACAATACTGGCCTGGGTAGACCAATAGTGAGACTCAGTGTTAGGCAGGTTTGTGTGTTTCAGAATAATGGAAGGAGGGAATCTGTTCCTTTGGAGTAATCAGATGATGACCAGCATGACAACAGCATTTCTGTATGGCTAAACTGATGCAAGGCTATAGGGTAGAGACATCATGAAGACAAGGAGTATATGTATAATGGACAATTTCAAACAGCATAGAATCTGAACCCCAGAACTCCCCATTGGGTTGAATGGAAATATTTCACTCTTCCAAGCGCATTTAGATATGCTCCTGCATAATTTTTCTTTCAGTTGCCCCCCAGGTGGCTGTTTCTTCCTCTATTGCATTAATACTCTGAACAGGGGTGGACTGGCCATTAGGCTTACAGGAAAATTACCGGGCGGACTGCTGACCTAGAGGGCCACACTGGTGGCCGGGTGTAGACTCAGCCAAGCCCCAGAACCTCTGCCAGTGCCTCAGGGGCCACTTGGCTCAGATTATATTTATTTATTTATTTATTTTTCGCATTTATACCCCGCCGTCCCCAGTGGGCTCAGGGTGGCTAAGAAGGGCAAGGTAAACCATGCCATAATTAAAAACAAACATACATAATAGTTTAAAAACATAATACAATTTAAAAACATCCAATACTTAAAACAACGGTGCTCAGACTTTCGATGTTATAGGTCCAAAGATGGCGTCAGTGCAGTTCCGGTGGTACTTCCAATGGTGTTCACATCCACAGGAGAGCGGCTTAGATCCTCTTACAACATCCAGGTATTTCAGATGTTTCCTCAGGGCCTTGTCAACCCTGATGGTGATGGTATAGTAGGGGCAGCGGCTCCTACTCAAAGGCCTGGCGGAAGAGCTCCGTCTTGCAGGCCCTGCGGAACTGCATAAGGTCCCGCAGGGCCCGGATCTCCCCCGGGAGCTCATTCCACCAGGTAGGAACCGCCACCGAAAAAGCCCTGGCCCTGGTTGCAGCTAGTTTGGTGTCCTTGGGGCCCGGGATAACCAACAAGTTTTGGGCCCCCAACCGTAGTGCTCTTGGGGGAAGCGACAGTAAGCAGCGTCAGCTCAGCCATTGTCTTCTGTACTGCTGTCAGTGTGAAGGAGGAAGCAGTGGATGCCCTTTGCGGGCACTGCTGAGCTGAGAAGCCCTGAAGCCTAGGCTTGTAGCGCCACAAGGCCTAATCAGTTGGGCACATTCCAGGGCCATTTTCTCTTCCCAGACCACTCCTGTCCCTGAGATTGCTCCTAGTGAAACCATTAGGGAAATGGATTGAATAAAGACTGGGTGAAAATTGCATCAGTGGGAGAGAAGCGAGCCATAAAAATCTGAGAAGTATGTCTTACCTGATTTTGTGTCTATTACAGATGCAGACTTCGCGGAAGGAATCGTAAACACATCCCCCATTTGCCGAGATGAAGACCTTTCCCCTGGTCCAATAAAGATCAAATGCAGGTCTTAGTCATCCATATATCTAGGGCTGTGAACTCTGGATTGCGAAATACCCAGAGATTTGGGGGATGGAGCCTGAGGAGGGCGGGGTTTGGGGAAAGGAGGGACCTCAGCAGGGTATAATGCCATAGAGTCCACCCCCACAAAGCAGCCATTTTCTCCAGAGGAACTGATCTTGGTCATCTGGAGATCAATTGTAATAGTAGGAGATCTCCAGTTGGTATCCGAAGGTTGGTAACCCTCTGTATATCAAGAGTTAAAAATAATAAAAATAAAAATTGGAGCGCAAAGACTCAGGACCCAGAAACTGCCTCCCATGGGCTAATGGATTCTTGCCCTCACCCCTTCTGCTAGTATATAGGTACCGGAAGGGAATAAGAAGCTTCTGGTGTTCTCCAAGGCAGCCCACACTACAATTAACAGGTTGTGACGGACAGGAGGCTGTCCTGCCCCTGAAGACAAAATCAGCTGCTCAGCTGAGCCTATGTTTTTGGAGTCTTTTGTTTGGTCTGTTGCTCATTGAGCAAGGTCTGTCTGCAGGCCCCACCCTCTGCTGTTGCTGCTGGGAGGTGGGGGCTTTGGCATGAGCTGAAGGGTGACTCTTAGCCTGGGGATCAGGCCTGGGGAACCCTGCATCTCTCTAGATACCTTTAAACCACTAACCAGTTATGAAGGTAGAAAGCCAGCAGGGGAGTGGAGGCTATCTAGTGTTTTGCAGAGAGTACCACATGTACAATTATCTACCTACCGGGTGGAAATTGTGGGTGTGTGCTTGCTGCATGAAGCTTGTGGCCCTCAGGGAGCAGGTACATTCCCCTGAGGCTAGGGTTGCTGACCTGGAGAAGCTGAAGTGGAGAGGAGAGAGAGGTTTGGGGAGGAGAGACCCTCGGGGACTTACCAGAACAGTCGCACTCCTGTGCTGGCAGCTCTTTTGTTGTTGTGGAGAGTGAGAGTCTCAAGGTCGGAGGGTGGGATCCCTTAGAAGGGACCCCTCCCTTGGGCAATGGACTGATATCCTCTTGTACTGAGAATACTTCTGGAGGACTGGGGTGAGGTGGGCTTCTGGTAGTGGGTGATTTGATTATTAGGAATTTAGAGAAAGGGGTCAGTGACAGTTGTTTTAACTGCATGGTGACTTGCTGGCCTGGTGCGAAGGTTGCAGACATCATGCGCTGTCTAGATAGGTTGATTGATAGTGCGGGGAGGAGTCAGTAGTCATGGTGTGCACTGTCACAAGTGACATTGGGAAATGTAGTGGTGTGGTCCTGGAGGAAAAGTTTAGGTTACTAGGCAGAAAGATAAAGGTCAGGACCTCAAAGGCAGCATTCTCAGAAGTGCTGCCACTTCCATGTGCAGGGCCAGCTAGACAGGCACAGATCAGGGGTCTCAATGTATGGATGAGAAAGTGGTTCTGGGAGGAAGGGTTTAGATTTGTTAGGCGCCGGGGAACTTTCTGGGACAAGCCGAACCTGTACAAAAGAGATGGGCTTCACTTGAACCAAAAGGGAACCAGGCTGTTGGTGATTAATACTGAAATGGTGGCAGAGCAACTTTTAAACTAATTGCGGGGGGGGGGGGGTGCTGTGTAGGCGGAGTGAGATACCAAAGGGATGGTTGCATAAACACTCAGGCTAATATTGATCAGAGCATAATAGAACTTGGGAGTGAGGGCAGGATGGCAAATGAGGGCCATGTGTGGCAAATAAGGGGCCGGGGGAGGTGAGAGTTTCTGGAGAGGAAAACACATTATAGGTGTCGATATGCCAATGCTAGAAGTCTCTAAGCCAAGATGGGGGAGCTGGAGTGCTTGGTTTTTAATGACAATTTAAGTATAGTAGGTATATCAGAAACAGGAAAAGTCTATAGGATACAGTTATTCCTGGGTATAAGCTCTGTAGACAGGACAGGGAGGGAGGGGTTGTTAGTGGTGTTGCATTGTACATCAAAGAGGAAACAGAATCAAATAAGTCAGAAAAGATCAGAGGAATTCACTCCCCAACAGAAGCGATATGGGTGGAAATGCTGGGCCCTAAGGGTTACTTAAAAGTGGAAGTGTGCTGTCACTCACCTGATCAAACCCTTGAGGCTGATCTTGAGATGGAGAAGAAAATAAAGGAGGGGACTAAAGCAGATAATGTTATTATACTGTTATTATACAGGAAGACTTCAACTACCCTCACATTGATTGGGTAAACATGTGCTCGAGTCGTGCCGCAGAAATGAGATTCCTAGACAGCATAAATGACTGTGCACTGGAACAGTTGGTCACAGAGCCAATCAGAAGGGTTGGACTTGATTCTAAGTGGGTCTCAAGATCTGGCGAGAGATGCTGAGGTTGTTACACCAACTGGGGACCGCCTCCCTGGTGCTCAGCTGTTTCTGCAGTTTTCATGGGGGAAAGAAAATGGGTTTAAAGGGACTTGGAGTCCCTTTAAACCCCTGCTTTCTGCTACATGCAAATCACCAAGAGCTGCCACAAACTGCTTTAAAAGTGCATGGAAATTTGTGACTGTAGACCCATCATGAACTTCTGTTTGCAAATCATGAACACGGCAAAAATTCCTGACGAATTTTGCTTCATAGTTTGGTTCGTGCCCATCCCTAACAGCTACTATTTAATTTATTCATAAATTATTATCTGGAACTAAGTGTAGTGGCTGGGTTTGCAGATGACACAAAATTATTCAGGATGGTGGAAGCCAAGGCTGACTGTGAAGAGCTCCAAGAGGACCTTCATAAACTGGGTGAGTGGGCAACAATGTGGCAAATGAAGTTCCGTGTTGGTAAGGAAGCACACCGGGACAAAAAATCCCAACTTCAACCATAGGCTAATGAGGTCTGAATTTGCTGAGACTGAGAAGGAAAAAGATCTTGGGGTTGTAGTAGATAGCTCAATGAAAGTGTCAGTGTGCAGCGGTGGTGAACAAGACGAACACTGTGTTAGGGATTAATAGGAAAGAGATTGAGAATAAAATGGATGGTATTGTAATGCGAATATTGTGTAGAGTTCTGGTCACTGTATCCCTGAAAGAACATTTCAGAGCTGGAAAAAGCACAAAGGATGACAGCCAAGAGGATTAGGGGGTTGGAGCACATTCCCTATGAGGAAAGGCTGAAGAGTCTGGGACTTTTCAGTTTAAATAAGAGATGACTAAGGGGGGACATGACAGAGGTTTGTAAAATTATGCATGGGGTGGGGAGAGTTGACAAAGAGAACTCTTCCTGCCTCTCCCAAAATACCAGAACTAGAGGGCATCCAATGAAACTGATGGGCAGTAGGTTCAGGACGGACAAAAGTAAATACCGCTTTACACAGAGAGTGATTAAAATGTGGCCACAGGAATAAACAGCTGATGGCCACAAGAATAAACAGCTTTAAAAGGGAATTTAGATAGATTCATGGAGGATAAGTCTATCAATGGCTAGTAGCCATGGTGACTGAGGGGAACCTCCACATTCAGGGGCACTAATCCTCTGAATCCCATAGCCAGGAGGCAACATCACAGGAAGGCCTTGGCCTCTATGTCCTGCTGTTGGCCGTTAAGCCGTGTGAGACAGGAAACTGGACTAGATGGACCATTGGTCTGATCCAGCAGGGCTCTTTTTATGTTCTTATCCACTTACCTTTCAGGAGGAGGATGGAATGTGACAGGGAAGCACAGCTGGCGTTTAGTTCAGGTCTGCCTTCAAGGACAGTGCAGAGAGAGAGTTCAGTTCTCCCTCAGGGAGAGAGTAGTGAGAGTAGTAAGGTCTGGCTCAAGAAAAGAGCAGACAGAGTGAAGAGTATCTCAGTGTAGCAGAGTGGTTTAGCTCTACCTCTGAGAGATAACAGAGTATTTGATTGGTAGGCCTGTCTCTGGTAACTAACAGACCTTGCTCCATTTGTCTGACTCTTGGGAAATGGCAGGCTGGTATGGGTGGAATCCTGTGTGAGAGGGTCCAACCTCATGTAAAAACCTGTTTGTGCCTGAAAACATTAAAAATATTGAAACTACTCTCTGCAGCCATAGCTAGTTTAAATGTATGTGCCTCCGACAGGTTTCTCCTTTGTCTACCTGGAGACCTGTGCTGCTAATCTGCTCCTTGAAACCAACCTGTAAATAAATAAATCTTCTTTGCTGTTTATATAGAAATCCTGCCTCAGCAATCTCCGTATTCTATTTGCTCACCTCAAAATTTACCTCACAGTAGCAAATCCTAAGCCTATACACTTGCTACCTTTAAAACACTTGGTAGCTGAGGGGGAGACATGTGGTTTAAAACAAACCTAATTCCCTGAAAAGCATAGGTGGCTGTGTGGTTCCCTTCAGTTGATAGAAAAGGCCTGTCATGCAGGTGCAGATGTATCCCAGAAACATCACCATTGCCCAGAAGGTAGGGATGGACATGAACTGCATTGATGCAGTTCCGTTCATGGCTAAATCATGTACCAAACGACAAACTGATATGCGGGTTTACAAACCGACCTGGTTTATATCAGCTTGTGAGCTATTTAAAGTTTAAACCGCTGCTTTCTGTTCACCATGGCTTTTGGGGGGAGCAGAAAGCAGTGGTTTAATGGCTCTGAGCAATTTAAACCAAATAGCTGAGTGGTGGGAAGCTCCCTGCTGCTCAGCTGTTTTTTGTGAAGAGCAGAAAGCAGGGCTAACCCCCTGTTTTACCCCTGCTTTCCACTCTTCACAAACCATCATGAACTGGCCAAAATTTATGATGAGCTTTAGTTCATCGGTTGATTGGTGCCCATCCCTACCAGAAAGCACCAGTCCCATTCCTGTGATCTGGACACTGAGACGTAATATGAATGAGGCGATCTCGTAGTTTTGCATGGATTTTCTGCTGGGATCCAGAAACAGACTTCCTGGGAAACCCAATGTCAGCAGATCTGGCCGCTTGACTGCAACATTTGTCAAACAAACCTCCTGCAAGTGCCACATGCCAGACAGGTCTGTACAGAAGCTGACCCCATATTCAGATGTGAATTCTGTAACAAAAAGTGCCAGACACATTATTCAAATACTAGGGAAGAAAAAGTCTTACTGTAAGCATGCTCGGAGCTAGCTGGATCTAGAGTCACACTTGAAGGTCCGAAAGAGACTGCAGACATGGTGGCAGCGTTTTGGCCAAACAAAAGGCAGGATAAGGGTTCCACAGGATGTTGGCTTCTGTAGGGTTTTCAGTGTCTGCTGTGTTCACTTCCTAGAACATATGCAGAAAGCAGACATTATTTTTAGTGGAAAGACAGACACATCTATGCTTAGCTACTTGCTACACATTGGATAGAAAAAGGTACCCTAATGTAAGAGACTCAAAACAATGGTTATAATTTACTAAACGTGCTTTGGCTTAAAGTTCACAAACGATTTAGCAGATGTGTAGCTAATTCTCAGAGTGAGAGGGGCAGGGTATAGTGATTGGTTTTGGACTGGAGAGACCTGGGTGCAGATCCCCACTCTGCCATGTAGCTCACTGGGTTTCCTTGGGTCAGTCACCATCTCTCAGCTGTCCTACTATAGCTGCCCTACTATATGGCACTATATCTCTATGCTGACACAAACTGTTAAAGATGTAGGAGCCTAATCAGGGGAAAAGATGCTTCCCTGGCATTACTAAAACAAAGTTTCTCTTAGTTCAGATCAGGCCCATTATCATCCATCGCAAAAGAAATGCTTACAGTATCATCATGCATAAATATTCAGCACATGTAATAACTACAAAATGTCACATATTAATTTGAAAATGTATCAGTCCTTCCGAACAGGATGACGATTTTTGTACGATTCAAAAGCCTGCATACTCACTTGTACAGCAACAGAACTCTCAGCCTTCAAAAATACGTGACTAGTCCGACTGAGATCCCTAATGCTCAAACGGTAAGCAAAGCCATGAAGAGCCATTCCCAGGATTTATGGGATACTTCTCTTCCTGAAACAAGACCCACTTCTGCACATTACAGCACAAGATTTTTAAGCTAATCCGTAATTACTTAACTACCAAGAAAACTATAAGAGCAGAGGAAGATCACACAAGGGGAAACATGTATCAAATATCAGCACTTTGAATGAGCATGTTGTCCTAAAAAAGCACAAAATATATAAATCATTTGTCAGAGAAAAAACAGTAACTGGGCTGAGAAAGCACTGAAAATATTTATGAACCCCATGACGGGAATTTGAGAGGCAGCTGAATTACCGTAGATGTAAATATTTTTGAAGGGAAACTTCTTCCACAGACAGCTGGATGTTCAACACCCCCCCCCACACACACACAAAATAAATATTTGCGGCTGCTTGGAGGCAAGGAAGCCAGAACCCTATACTGAAGAAAACCAGCAGGCTGTATTTTTTATCCGCTATCATAGGCTTTCATGATTTTCACTGTATTTCTTCCCCAATAAAAGATTTGCTTGGTAGGTTTTCCTGCTTCCAGACAACAGGCGCCTCTCATACCAATGCATAAGATCAAACAAAGTATTTTGCTCACCCTGAATTTATCTGCTCCAACTGAAACAAAAAAAAACCTGGTAGTTTCAGAGAAGGAAAACAAAGTCCAGCTATTATCACTATTCGCCTCTTCTCGTGCCCCCCTCCCTTCAGTCAAATGCCTTATTTAGTTGTAAGCAGCAATCTTTGCTTGAGAGCCTCTTTAGGCGATGGGACTGAAGCAGAGCGCTGCCTTGGGACGAGAGACACTCTCTGGAGTCTGCACGTTCCGCCTGTCCATTGTTCTCCACTCTTGTTTACGTTGCCAAGGAAACCATTCTTTCCTGTTGCCAGGAGACGATGGCGTCATAGAGGATAGAAGGCCTGCATGAATTTGGCATGCTTCCGGACAACTATGCCGCGCTGGGCTTCGATAGCAGGAGGGACTGTGGTGGAAATATGGTTTACATAAGCTGTATGTCAGGCCTCAGGTTGGAACAGTCCAGGAAGGGCAAGTAATTAGGAATAATAATAAATAAGGGTTCCTGAGTCAGAGCCCACTTCATCCAATGCAGAGTGTACATCCATAGCAGTTATTTACACTCTTAAGTATAAATGCGTCCACGCATGTGGCAAAGTGAGCTCTGACTCATGAAAACCTATGTTGGAATAAATTTTGTTAATCTTTAAAGGTGCCACTGGACTTCAGTTTTATTTTGCTGCAAAAGATGCTTATCCATCTGGAATTAATAAATAATTATAGCTATTAGAACAAACACAAAAACTGGTGGTTTCATCCTGCAAGGCTTTGAGGTTGAACCTTGAGTACGTTTGATGGATCTTAGAATAAGGAGATCATTCCTAGCAAACTGTATCTTAGTTAAGAAAGCCAGTTTGGTGTAGTGGTTAAGTGTGCGGATTCTAATCTGGGAGAACCGGGTTTAATTCTCCACTCCTCCACTTGCACCTGGCTGGATGACCTTGGGCAAGCTGTAGTTCTGATAAGAGCTGTTCTTGAAAAAGGAGCAGTTTCTGTCAGAGCTCTCTCAGCCCCACCTACCTCACAGGGTGCCTGTTGTGGGGAGGGGAAGGGAAAGGAGTTTGTAAGCCACTCTGAGACACCTTTGGGTAGTGAAGGGCGGGGTATAAATCCAATCTTCTCTTCTTTTTAATTTGCAATGGCAGTTTTGCAAAGAGTTTCTGTAAAGGTAGTGGCTTTTTTAGGGAAGGACTGTGGCCCAGCGGTAGAGCATCTGTTTGGTATGCAGAGGGTCCCAGGTTCAAAACCTGGCATCTCCATTTAAAGGATCTGGCTGGCAGTAGGTGATGCGAAAGACTTCTGACCGAGATCATAGAGAGCCACTGCCAGTCTGAGTGGACAGTGCTGACTTTAACAGTTCAAGGGTCTGATTCAGTATAAGGCAGAGTCGTGTTCTAGAAGCACCGCGTCTGGAGGTGCATTGCTCATCATGTTGTTGTGCTGGAGGGATAAGAGAAGCTGAACCTAATGACAGATTCAAGTCCAGTAGCACCTTTGAGACCAACAAGAGTTTCAGGGTTTAAACTTTCGAGAGTCGAAGCTCTCTTCGTCAGACACAAGTAGAAATGGAGATCTCGGAGTCCATTTATTCTAATCAGATGGTGGGAAAAGTACTACGCAAGATTGCTGAACCTGAGTTACATAAGAACGTAAGAGAAAACAATGTTGGATCAGGCCAGTGGCCCATCTAGTCCAACACTCTGCCACACAGTGGCCAAAAATACCAGGTGCCATCAGGAGGTCCATCAGAGGGGCCAGGACACTAGAAGGCCCTCCCACTGTTGCCCCCCTCCCCAAGCACCAAGAATACAGAGCATCCCTTGCCCCAGACCGAGAGTTCCTATCTATACCTTGTAGCTAATAGCCACTGATGGACCTCTGCTCCATTTTTGTTGTTGTTGTTCAGTCACACAGTCGAATCCGACTCTTCACGACCCCATGGACTAGATCACGCCAGGCCATCCTGTCTTGCACCGTCCTCTGAAGTTGGCTCAATTTCATGTTCGTTGCATCGGTGACCCGAACCATCTCATCCTTTGCCGTCCCCTTCTTCTTTGACCTTCAATCTTTCCCAGCATCAGGGTCTTCTCCAATGAGTGCTCCCTTCTCATTTGATGGCCAAAGTATCTGAGCTTCAACTGCAATATCTGGCCTTACAGGGAACAGTCAGGGTTGATTTGATCTCCTTGCAGTCCAGGGGACTCTCAAGAGTGTTCTCCAGCACCATAATTCAAAAGAATCTGTTCTTTGGCGCTTGGTCTTCCTTATAGTCCAACTCTCGAAGCCATACATGACTACTAGGAATACCATTGCTTTGAACTTTTGTTGGCAGGGTGATGTCTCTACTTTTTATCATGCTGTTTAGGTTTGCCATCGCTTTCCTCCCAAGGAGCAGGTGTCTTTTAATTTCATGGCTGCAGTCACCGTCTGCAGTGATCTTGGATCCCAGGAACGTGAAGTCTGTCACTACTTCCACGACTTCCCCTTCTATTTGCCAAGGAGTGATGGGGCCGGATGCCATGATCTTAGTTTTTTTTATG